AAAAAAGTCGCGCGACAGGCGCGGCGCGCCGTTTTCCAACCGCAAACGCGGCGCCGGGAAAGCTGCGACCTCCGTCGCGCGATCGGCGCGACGATAATTCTCATCGCCTGGCACGCGCCTCGCGCTTGAGTCTGGGCTCGCACAGCTCCTGGCGCGCTGGGCTGCGCTGCCGACGACGCCCTTGTCGCAGCGGGGCCTTCCGGTCCGCGCCGCGGTCATAGCCGAGACCCCGTTGCGCGCGGAGGGCGCGCCCCCCTGTCGCGACTGCTGGCGCTGGCGCTCGCGGCCTGCTAGGGCCCGCCGCGTATGCCGCGAGTGCGTGCGCTGCTCGGTGCATTGCCTCCCCTTCTTTCAGCTGACGCAGAAGACCGCTGCGCGCCTGATGCGAAGAACGCGCGGGCGAAGCGATCGCGGCAACCAGCCATCGCAGCAAAGACTTGCGCGCGAGATCAAAGGTCGCAGTCCGCATATCATAAAGCGCGGGCCAATGACTCTCGGCACCAGCAGTGCTCGCTCAATGCCGAACGACCCCGCCAAGCTCCGCCCAGCGCGCTCGCGCCGATCATGACGAAACCTTCCGGTCGAAGCTGCGCCAGCCACTGCCGCGACACCGACAACTCGCGCCGCGGGCCTCGCCTTTTCTCGAAATGACCGTACGCGATGCGGAAACTTTCCTCGATCGCGCTTGCCTCGTCCGTTGGGCTCTGGCCCCGCGGGAAGAATTGCGCCGCGGTCAGATTGTCCGCGCCGCCGAGGAGCAACCCAGCGGCGACGCCCGCGCACGCGAAGGGAAGCAAACAACGCATCGCACTGACGACTCGGCCACTTTGCGCGCGAGCGGATGTGCTTGGGTCGGTTCGATCGGCGCGGAAGCGCGCCCCCGTGCGCCCGCTGGCGGAGGCGGCGGCGGCGGCCGCTCGCGATTTGGACAGGCGTCGCTGGGCGCGGCAGCACGCCGGTTCGACCTGCGCGCCCTCGCTGTCAGGAGCCAACGTGGAAGGGAGGGAGAGCCGCATAGACATCGGCGCTTGGACTCACGTCTCACAAGGCAGCGCACGAACCGCGAGATTGACAGCGCTGGCGACGGCGCCGCGCTTCCATCGGGCCCAGGCCCAAACGTTGCCCCGCCCCCTCCTCGACTGCGGGGCTCGCTGGAACATCGGGCACTCTTGCGGCAGAATGCAACAGAGAGCTTTTCGCACTTGCGGCGGGGCTGGGATGGGGACATAGGACGCGGCTGCAAGGCATGATGGGGAAAGGCAAAGGATGCGAGCGGCAACTGGAGGACGCGTCGCCCGACCGATTCTGGACCCCACAGTGGAGGCTCGCCGGGGCTAAGAGTTATACTGATGGTTGTCTGGCTAATACTGAGCGCTCGCGAGGCGCGGGCCCAGGTGGAGCGGAACGCCTGGGCGCGCGTGCGTTCCCGCGGGGCCGCCCGCGCCACGAACGGCGCAGCGAGCGTTCCGTCGTCTCGCAGCTGAGCCCTGCCGCCTCTCTTGCGCCGAGCGAACTCACGCGCGGGCCGGCGCCCAGCGCTGGCTGGAAGAATGAAAGCTTCCGCGGGCTACGGCAGCGCGCGCGCCCGCGCGTTGCCAGAGCGCGCCGATGGCGAGCAGTGCCCTGTCGGGACCGTATACGCGAGACGCGCGAGGGACGACGATGTTGACCTGTCCGCGCGACCCCGAGGTATCGTCCGATATTTCAGAAGAGACAGGCATCCCCGTCAAGTGAGTTATGATGGAGCCAGCCAGGCGCTGGAGCTCCACATCGCTCGCCGGGGACTTCATCAACCGCGACGCCGACGCTAACACGCCCATGGCTTTCATCATGGGCTTGGCGCTTGGCTCGGAAACTTCATGTAATAACCGAACCAGCGCGTCGCGCGCCTTCCTCCCCCCCGCCCCTAGACGCGGCGCGAGCTCTGATATTTCCTTTCTGAGAGCGTCCAGGCGAACGGTCTCCGCCTCGATGTCGGACACGTCTTGCCCGCTTCGCGCCGACGCGAACGCCGCTGCGCTCGCGCGTCGCAGCCCTCGAGCCGACGCGCGCACGAGATGGCGGCGCGCGCGTCGACCGCGGCGCGGCCCGCGCGAGGGAGCCGCACGCAGCGCGCGCGCGCCCCTGCGCGGAGGCGCGCCTTCTTGGGCTGGCGCGCTCGGACTGCCGAAGAACTTCGGAGAGGTGCCCGCGATTTGCATGCCGCCAACCCCCTCGCGCATTGCAGTGCCGTCGCGGCGGCGCGCCGCGTCTGCGACGCTGAGTGCGCGGCCGCTCCTCTTGCGAAGCGCCGAGAATCTGGTTCGCCGCGCGCGCAAACTTGGACGCCATGTCTGCGTCGGCTTCAGCCTCGCCGACGAGATGGGCAAGTCGACCGCGGAAGCTTTGCGCGTCTGCAAAGCCCCCCCCCGCGCAACTCGCCGCGCCCCAGGGCGCCGACCCCCTGGGCTGGGCGAGGCGCCGCAACTCGCGGCGCCGAGCGGCTGCTCGTAGAGCCGCCATCTCGCGCTGGCTAACGACGCGAAGCGCGGGGCGAAAAGCAAATCTGGGCGTGCCCTGCGCTCCTTGGAAGGCGCGGACGTCTGGCCCGCTGCCGCTCGTATCCTGCCACGCAAGCGAAGGCCGCGCGCGCGCGGCAACGCGGTCGCGTTGGTCTGACCCGCGCGGCGAAATCATATTGCACGCGCGCGGCCTCGGCCAGGCCAGTTCGGGCGCTCGCGCAATCCACTTCGGGGCAGCCCGCGAGCGCCGTCGCGGGGCGACCGCCCGCGCCCTGCTCGGCAGCCGCAGCGGCGGCGCCATGGAGCTGCACGAGCGCAGCGGCGGCACACAACGCGCAGAGAGCCATGGCTGCAGCCCCCCCCCCTCGGAAAGCGCAGGCCTAAAGGCAAAAGAACCTGCCGCAATTCCGCCCCGGGCCGCGCGGGCTGATGGCGTGTGCAATTTCTGCGTGCGCAGGACGCTTCGCCCATTCGGAGTCGGACCCGCGGCGTAATCGTTGAGCTTCGCCTTAAATGCCAGCGGCCGCCCTGCCTCGCTTGTCAAACGCTTGCGCGTCGCATCAGGCACTTGCCCCACAGGTTGCTGCATGCGTCCAACGCGCGCGCGCCTGCGTATGTCTGCGCGCTTCTTGCGGGTGGGCGAGCTCGAGGGGGCGGGAATCGACTGGGAGCGGAATCCTGGTTTCCCTGAGCCACCGTCAATGCACTTCGCCCTGCGCTTCAAGAGATTTACTAAGAGCGCGGCCCAGAAAAAAAGCAGGTTGCGCTGTCGCACTGCACTCTACGCTGGAGTTGCATGCGCCTCGGCAACAATGCACCGCCTCGGCGAGCGGAGAAGATTCGCTCCCCCATCGCTGCAGACCACGGGGTACAAGCTCGACACTGGGCGCTGCGTCCTGGGCGGCGTGCCCCTGTCCAGGATGCGTCGCGATGCGCCCAGACTGCGCCGCGCGCAATGGGCCCCTTAGCACGTGCTAGATTGGGGTCCACAGAGAACACTGCGATGTTCTGGGCCCACGCGCCAAAACCAGACGACAAATCCAACATCCACGGATCACGCGTGAAATTTCGCGGCTTGGCACCGCGCGCGCACGGTCGCCACTTCGCGCGTTTGCGAGCAGCCGCGCATAATGCAGCGCTCGACGCAGCGCGCAGCGATGTGAGACCAGGAGGACGATGCGTTTCCTACAGGGACGCCAATGAAAGGGACTGCTGAGACCGCGGCGTTGCATCTCATACTGACTTCGAGAAGTGCGAGTGACAGCGTCATGCGGCGACCCTGTGAGTGAAGCCGAGCAGACGTGAGAAATCGGCATCGCCGGTCTCAAAAGTTCCTTTCCCTGGGGTCCCTGTTGGAACCACGTGAGAAGGCGCGCTAGATCGGACTGCGGCAATGGAGGAAACCAACCATGGAACATACGCGCGCATCGCCCTCGCCCTCGCGCCCCGTGGCGCAGCGAGGCCTGGTCAGCTGGGAAGCGGTGGAACACGTTTTTCCTGCTCGGCTGCAGCCCCTCCCCCGCCCCCTCCCCATGCAGACGTTCGCGCTGCCGGCGCCGTCGCCATTGCCAACCTGGACGTTATTGCAACTACCTGCTGTGGGTGCTCCTGCTGACACCCTTGCGCTTCTGCTTCAACCTCCAATTGAACTGATGATGCTGCAGCCGACGCGGCTGCAACTGCAGCTGCAGCTGCGCCAACTGCGGTCGCTCATGCAGCGCACTGGCTGAGCGTTGTGCTCGCGCAGGTGAAGACGCATCTCGCGGCGGCCGGGCAACGACCGCAGGGCTCACCGTCGCCGACTATATGTCGCCCCCGAAGTCATCCGAGGCACAGGACGGCATCGCTGCGACGATGGCAACGGACACGGGGCCCCTCGAAGCCATCGCGCAGGTCTGCAACGAAGTATGACCAGTGACGTTCATCGTCGGCGCAGGCGCCACTTCCTTCGCGCGCGGCGCTGCCTGCGCGGCCACGGCGGCGGCCGCCGGCGCGGCGGCATCGTCGCCAGAGGCCGTCGCGATCATGGCCGAGGACCTCGTCTTTGAGGAGCACTGCGGCCCGTTGCGCGCAACAAGGAACGCAGGAAGTGCCAGCTGGAAGCGCTGACAGCCGCGCGAGCGCGCGAGGTCGACGGCGACCGCGGCGACGCGGACATTGATGTTTTCAGCATCGGCAGGAACTGCTGTTGGCATTCGCCTTTTCTTCCGACGCGATCTCGATTGGGCCGAGGCGCCCTGGGGCCAGGCTCCCGCCCTAGCAAATTCGAACGACCGCGACCCCGCGCCCCGCAGGCGATCGCGCGCGCGCAGCTCGCAGCGAGCCCTCGCCAATCGCAGCAACGCTGCCTTCCCGAGCACGAACGCCACTCGAAAGCAGCGTCTTCAACTCGCGATTGCCAGCTCGTCGCCGCGCAGCGCATACAAGTCGCGCAGGACACTCGCAGACCGATCGCGGGAACATGAAGGTGGCGCGACGTCGCAGCGCGGCGCTGCCATTGCCCGAACGCTCAGCGAGCTCCGCGAATTCTGCGCGGTGCCGGCGCTGGCCGGTGAATCGCAGACAACCCGGCCCGGCGTGGCCTAACGGAGCGGGCTCTCGTCGGCGGGCTCATCGCTCCCCAAGATCGGGACCCCAGGGGTCGGGGCGTCGTCGTACGACGCTGGGTCCTCCGCGGAGTCCATGCCTCCTGGCCCATGGTCGGGAACAGGGCAATCGCTCGGGAACGGGTTCGCCTCGTCGAAACTTGAATACTGCGGAGGCAATCGATGCTTCCACGGCGACGCCGCTTCGCCGCGCGCGGCAAGTCCATCGACGGGCCAGGCCGTGTTCCAATAAAACGCTTGCGCACACACGGGCGGCACAGACACCATCGAGCACGGGCCAGCGACGTCGCTGATCCAAAACCCAGGGCACGTGATCAGCGGCAGGATGCAGAGGTGGAGGCACATTGGTGCCCGGCCGCCCGCGGCGATGGGCTCTTCGCCCGACTGCGGCACTGTGCATCGGGGAAATATAGAAGAACACTGCATGCTCATGAACGCCGAGAAGCACCTGCGTCGCCCGAGCAACAGCGGCCGATCTAGGGCGCCCCGCGGCGACGTCGGAGGCGAGATGCGCTGCCCCGCGCTCTATACCTCGGCCGACGGCGCGACCCGGGGCGGGGCCGAACCAGAAGCGCTTCGACGGAGAGTGACATCGCGTCGCCCGTCTTCCCCACCTTTTCCGCGTAAGCGGCGGGGAAGCCAGCAATGATGCCGTCCAGGGCGGAATCCTTCGGCCCCCGGGCGCGCCGGCGCGCGCTGGCCCAGCGCCGCGACGCGCGTCGTCGGGTCGCCGCGACGTCTGCAAGCACGAAGTCGGCCATGGTGATCTGGGCAGGAACGCGCCGGAGAGGCCGCGTCGCGGGCGATCGCGACCCGCGGGCCGCCGCGCCGGGTACAGGACGGCACCGAAACAATTGTGGCCTGCGAGCGGGCACCCCGCCCCCGCGGAAGCCACCCCCAGCGGGGGATTCGAGCCCCGCGCGACGCGCAACACGCTCGAGCGAAGCAGAGAGCTAGCCCATGTTTTTCGGAGGAGCACTGCGAACCTAGCAACGCAAGGCAACCCAGCACGACGCAGCGCACGAGAACCTACGCGCCGCAACGCGCGCCAAGCGCGCTGCGCGGCAGTGGGCAACAAAACAAATCGCAGCATTTAAAAACCACTCGCCGCAACGCGCAACAACGCAAAGCAACGCAATGATGCACGGCGACGCGTGAGGCACGGCCACCGAACATAAAGTTGCAATTCGATGCTAGTCAGAGCCACGCGATGGATTGCACTGCTACCGACCAGCCAGAAGCAAAGCAAAGACACGCAACGCAAAATTATGCATAGACTGACCATGCCAAACAATGCAAAGCACAGCAAATCAAATCGCAGTCTCGGAATGCATCGCAACGCGCGGCTACGCGACGCTTTCCAAAGAAAGGAAAGCGGCGAAAATGAAACCACGCAAAGACTTCGCGGCGTTGGAGGAGATCGCATCAAGGCATTGCGACGCAGACGAGGGTCAATCAAAATACCCCCTGGGATTCCCAAAGGATCTTCGGAAACCGCCCATGGGGCCCGGCAGGGGGGGCACGAAGCCCCCGTGGATAAGGGCCGCGCACCTGTGACCATCGGCGCTGAATAGCGAACGCACGTCGTCGGAGCCCACGGCGCGCCGCGCGACGCGTAATCTGAAGGGCGCCGCACGGCAGCGGTTGATCTGCGAGCGCGTCGCCAGTCCGCGCCATCGCGATCGCCGCGCGGCGCAGCGCGCGATCGCGCTGTCCAGATTGGCGGCGGGACCAGAGGCGGCACCTAAGATTCAGCAAGAGCGGCCACGAGCCACCGCGACGCAGCGGCTCGCGGGCGGCCGCGGACCGCGTGAATGATGGCGGCGATCGCGGCCTGGCGGCGCAGCGCCCACTCGCGCGAACGATCGCACCACTCGGGCCGCGCGCGGCCCCGACCAGCCTTCGCGGCGCCGGCACCGGCCAGAGAGATTGCACCATGCGCGAGGCGCCCCCCCAGGCGCGCGCCCCCGCCCGGTCGCGCGGCGAAGCAACGCAGGGCCCTTGGAAAGCCTGGAGAAGGCCGCCGCCCAAGCCAAGACCTTGCGACGCTAGCGCCTCGGAGCGCGCGCAAGCCCCCGGCGCGCGGGCGGCCCGCGGTCGCTGCGCCATTGGCTGGAGCAGCCCTGCAGCAGCGGGGCCCTGCGCTTGTTTGACAAGGTCGTAAGCGCTGCCGCGCGCAGCGAGGCCCCGTGCCCCTTCGCGCGCCGGGCGGAGCGCCGCACCTCTTCGACGCATCGACGCCGAAGAGCTGATCCGCGGCACCGCCCTCCAAAAAAGTCGCGCGACAGGCGCGGCGCGCCGTTCCAACCGCAAACGCGGCGCCGGGAAAGCTGCGACCTCCGTCGCGCGATCGGCGCGACGATAATTCTCATCGCCTGGCACGCGCCTCGCGCTTGAGTCTGGGCTCGCACAGCTCCTGGCGCGCTGGGCTGCGCTGCCGACGACGCCCTTGTCGCAGTGGGGCCTTCCGGTCCGCGCCGCGGTCATAGCCGAGACCCCGTTGCGCGCGGAGGGCGCGCCCCCCTGCCGCGACTGCCGGCGCTGGCGCTCGCGGCCTGCTAGGGCCCGCCGCGTATGCCGCGAGTGCGTGCGCTGCTCGGTACATTGCCTCCCCTTCTTTCAGCTGACGCAGAAGACCGCTGCGCGCCTGATGCGAAGAACGCGCGGGCGAAGCGATCGCGGCAACCAGCCATCGCAGCAAAGACTTGCGCGCGAGATCAAAGGTCGCAGTCCGCATGTCATAAAGCGCGGGCCAATGACTCTCGGCACCAGCAGTGCTCGCTCAATGCCGAACGACCCCGCCAAGCTCCGCCCAGCGCGCTCGCGCCGATCATGACGAAACCTTCCGGTCGAAGCTGCGCCAGCCACTGCCGCGACACCGACAACTCGCGCCGCGGGCCTCGCCTTTTCTCGAAATGACCGTACGCGATGCGGAAACTTTCCTCGATCGCGCTTGCCTCGTCCGTTGGGCTCTGGCCCCGCGGGAACAATTGCGCCGCGGTCAGATTGTCCGCGCCGCCGAGGAGCAACCCAGCGGCGACGCCCGCGCACGCGAAGGGAAGCAAACAACGCATCGCACTGACAAGGTCGACTCGGCCACTTTGCGCGCGAGCGGATGTGCTTGGGTCGGTTCGATCGGCGCGGAAGCGCGCCCCCGTGCGCCCGCTGGCGGAGGCGGCGGCGGCGGCCGCTCGCGATTTGGACAGGCGTCGCTGGGCGCGGCGAGCACGCCGGTTCGACCTGCGCGCCCTCGCTGTCAGGAGCCAACGTGGAAGGGAGGGAGAGCCGCATAGACATCGGCGCTTGGACTCACGTCTCACAACGCAGCGCACGAACCGCGAGATTGACAGCGCTGGCGACGGCGCCGCGCTTCCATCGGGCCCAGGCCCGAAACGTTGCCCCGCCCCCTCCTCGACTGCGGGGCTCGCTGGAACATCGGGCACTCTTGCGGCAGAATGCAACAGAGAGCTTTTCGCACTTGCGGCGGGGCTGGGATGATGATGATGATGATGACGCGCCATAAGGGGACGGATCTCCTGAAACACAAAGACTGAGAGGCCACCAATACGCCAAATGCGTATGGTAGAGAAGGGAGAAGCGGGCGAGACGGGAGAGGAAGGGGCAGAACAGAGAAGAATCCCAACCCAAGATTGAAACCCATGATACTGGACAAAATCATGAATGTAAACCGTCTGTCCAATTTTGAAAGAAGACATGATTGAAACCCAGGATACTCAAAGAAATCGTGAATGAATAAAACCCGCCTTAAATTGAACCCAGGATACTGAATGAAAACCACCCACTTTGAATAAATGTGTAAGCAATGAGAAACGTAACCATAAAATGAGTAACTCGAGCACCTTGCTTGACTTGCGTATACCAGACGTAGAGGTGAAGAGAACTTTCGTTGAGTCCCTTGAAACCCAGAAAACACAGAAAACATAAGTAATAGCCTAATCCAGTAAAGGAGTTGAAAGAAGGCTCGACATTGAATTGAAAGTCTCAACCACGCGGTGACCCAGAAGATATGGAGGCATACAAAGTAAGAACTGAAAACGAGTGATCCCAGCCGTGAAGGCCCACTCCAGTTGAACCAATACGTGCGAGGTAATTGAATTCAAGCAAGCAAAACGTGGGATGCAGTGGGTGTTTGCGGAATGTATTGACCCACAATCGGAGTTAAAGAACATGCAAGGGAGGTAGACGAGAAGACTAGGAAACCTCCAAAGGCCGCAGGCCCATGCACCGCAGACGCCTAGAGGTAAGACTGAGTGAGTCCCAGGAAAGGTGATCACGGATACTTCCAGCGCCACTTTTCCACAAAGAAGTCTCCATCCCACCAGTAGTCTGAAAGGTACCAAACCACCGGGTATGGCCAGCCTGATTCGGGATCGAACCAGGTGTCATAGTACTCTGTGTACCAGACTTTGGTGTAGACCTTTTCCTCTTCGCAGTAGTTCCACATCCCACCCGAACCTTGGAACCACTTGAGGCGCTTCCTGGATTCAAGCTTCGCTGGAAGGGATCGCTTGACCATCCCTGGTTTTATGGATGTCCCAGCCGCTTCGTGCCAGACTACCGCCTGGGTTTGAGGCAAAACGGCTACTGACCAACAGCCAATTCTTTCCAAGGAACTCTCCGCGCCCTTTCGTCGGGTCCTCTAACGTTTACGTAAAGTCTGTTAAACCCGCTGTCCCGACACGCTTGGAAGAGTGGAATTTTGCACCAATCGTAAGTAAGGAATGGACCACCTAGGTCCGACGGAACAAGGAACCGCGCTGGCAACTTTACCGCCCTTTGGAATAGCAACGTGGAGCAGTGAGAGAGCGCTTCCAGGTCTTGTTTGCATAAGAAGCAGACCTTGCGTTTGGACCTGCAAATCTTCCCCTGAAAGTAAACGTGAGGGTCGGACGCTTTGGGAAGTAGCATACCGAAATCTTGAGCCCGATACTGCAGGGAGCGGCAGGGGCAAGGGGCGAGAGAGAGCCCAGCAGAGGCAGACCGATGAGGACGGGATTGTTGCGAAGCCACGGTATCCCTACGATCACAGAGATCAGGCGGGTCCCAGATAGAATCGCATAAGTGACATCGCCTGGTGTCAGCCAATCCCGTAGGCGGGGACAAAATGAGAGAACACAAAGTGGTCTTGAGACAGACCGAAGTGAATTCCGTTGGGGGGACAAAACCCCGCTCCATTAATATTGGAGCCTGTTCTCTGAGGCTGCCATCAGGTATGATACCCAAACCTCCGAAGATTTCGTCACGTTAAATTTGTGAACTTGCATTCCGTGGAACATTGCCACGGCAAACTTCCTAGTGTGGGGAGCGCATGGGCCGCGAAATAGACGGCGGTCTTTCCCAGTCCGAGCGAACGACCCATGTTGGTCAGCAAACATCAGAATAGACCGAATGGAGCCGATAATGGGAGAAATTCCCTCAATGATGTTCCAGAACCGATCAGGCTCCACATACCCCACTCCCAAGCCTAACTCCATCAGATCTCCGACGAGCTCTAACCACCTGGAGGTGTCGGGCTCCCTATTCCACCTCTCACGAACCATCCTCTGTACATCTGTAACACGGCCCGCCACTGATCGAAGCTCCTCCACCGACTTGTGCGAGGCACTGGTAGGTTGTCTCCTTTGAAGATA